TTTTTAGGTGTAATAGCAATTTGCGACAATACTGCCAGGGATGGGATGAGAACAAACCGAAATAAACAGGAGCTGTAAATACCCTGCTACTTGTAATTGAAGATAAAATAACAAAATGAAGCATTATAATTCCTTTATAAATTTAAAAAAACTTGTTAACAAGCTTTATTTTAATTGAAATAAAAGAAAAACAAATAAAAGACAACCAAAATGAATGTACAAACAAACAAACATAACTAAAAAAGCAATGTTTTAGCCTAAATCTAGAGATGTACAGTATTTGTTAATAAAAATCAAATCACTAAGCATCTTCATACAGGCTAGCTTTTCATTTACATTTTCTTTGTTGATAATATGGGCTTAGTAATAGATGTATTTATTTAGACCTATTAATGAATGTGAATTCAACAGCTTGCCAAAAGATTTTTATTTTCGAAGGGCCTGTGTTGTGCAAGTTTACCATAGGCCACAAATAGCCTAGCCTACTAAATTGATGATTTCATTTTAGAAATAAATACTTTTTTTTTTTTTAAGTCTTTATTAATGTACACAAATAAAAAAAAAGAATAATTAAACAGGCCAAAATAATTCTTTATTTAAAGACTATAGGCCCATCGTTCAAGTTTACTATAGAATGACGGTTTGTTTAGAAATTTGCCATATGAATATTCTGTTTTCATTTTATATCTGTATATGTTTTTATACAGCATCAAAATCTACCTTTTAAGAGTAAATGTTTGTGTACGTTTTGTACAATCTCTGAATACAATACAATTAATAAAAATATAATCTCCACACTAATACAATATGTAATAGAATAATGCATTTATAAATATCTGTTATGTGTTGCAGTGGATCATTCCTTGCTGTTGTAGCTGGACTGCTGTACGGATCATCTTTTGTTCCAGTTCTGTACATAAAAAATCATGCATCAGATCCAGACAGCCCATACAATGGGGCTAGCCAATTTGGTACATTTAGATTTAATTGAATTCAGCATTGGTTGAATTAATTAAATATGAACTATAATGAATTTTGTGTATGTCTATCTTGTAGATCTGGACTACGTATTTGCACAATATAGTGGGATTTTCCTTGCTAGTACCGTGTATTTTCTTCTGTACTGTGCCATCAAAAGAAACAAGCCTCAGGTGTTTCCTAAAGCAGTTCTGCCAGGTAACGCCATCACTATCCCTGGAGTTGTTTATCTGCTTTCTTTTCCTCATACCTCTGTATTCTTGATGCTATTTTGTGCATGATTTCCTGTGTAGGATTCCTTTCTGGCATCATGTGGGGTGTTGCTACGTGCTGCTGGTTTCTGGCCAACCACTATCTCAGTGCTGTAGTGAGCTTCCCCATTATCACCACTGTGAGTGGCAGATCTTTAAACATACAGCTGTGGAAAAGAGACCGTTTGAAAGTTCTCAGTTTCTCTTAATTAGTGATTTAAAGTTATAATTTGAGTAAAACAATGTTAGTTTTATTATGTAAACTCATGACACTGATGACGTTTCGTAAAATAAAAATTGCTTTATTTATATAAAAACATTTTACATAAAATTTGGCATATTTTCAGCCGTTTAAACTAATTTAAGAAAAAAACCAATATTATTATTTTAACAACATTATAACTTATTTAACTAATACTTTTACTTGCAATAAAAACAATATTTGGTAAATTAACCCTGATTTTCAGTTACAACAAATAAAAGCATTTGTTATTTTGACCAATTGCCATTTTCTTTATTAAAAAGGAAATGTTCTAATAAAACTTTTTCGACTAAATGTTTTTTTCTCAAGTCCATATGTAATGAATTCAATAATTTTTTGACAAACTAAGAATTTTCAAGTGATCTCTTATTTTTTTCAATAATATGTAACATGTTTGAATCTTTTCAGGTTCCTGGACTGATTGCAGCTCTTTGGGGTGTTCTGGTGTTCAAGGAAGTGAAGGTAAACACTTATGTGTATGATAGGGGTGTAACAGTACATTTAGTCATTTGGCAGGCATTTTTGTCCAAAGCGACTTACAGTTGAGGAGATATTTACCAAATCAACACGAAGCAGTAGTAGTACGCAGAGGAAGTTGAAATTGTACAAATCTTTATGTTTGGTGTTTACTTGTTACTCATCTTCATGTCGTTTCCATCCCAAGATTTTGGTTTCTCTTTGGAACAGAAATATTAAGATGTATATAGATGAAATCTGAGAGCTCCCTCATCCTTTATAGATAGAAATGGTCATTAGATGTTCGAAAAGGAATCAAAATATTGTCAAACTACTCTGTGACACCAGTTGTAACAATATGAGGCTACATCATGAACGATTTTTGTGTGCCAATAACCTATTAAAAATTGAATGTCACAGGAGCATTGCTGTTGATCGAGGATGAGGGAGCTCACAGACATAATCTAAAATATTTTAATTTGTGTACTGATAATAAACCAAGGTCTCGGGACTGAAACAACACCCTCAGTTAGTAACAGGATTTTTATTTTTGGGTGAACTAATCTTTTAATCTAAAACTAAAACACAAAAATACCATAATGTATTTAAGAAACAAGCGGAATGAACGTACTTTTTTTTATCTGATAAACAATGTTAAAATCAATGTTATTCTCCTTTGAAAATGTGTGTTCCGTGTCAGACCGTCTGTCTTTGTTTTGGTCTGAGTAACTCTTCCAGTTTATGCAATTATATTTCAGCATCCTATTTAGCCATGGTGGGAAAACAGTGTATATTATTTCAGCCAAAAAGTCTCTCAGTTTATCCAGGCACGGTTGAAGATGTAACCCCTGGAAGACTGTAGCAGCCTTGGAAATGCCTCAGATTCAGAGTAATAAAAGTCTAAAAATGTTTTTAATTGGCAAACAATACAACTATTACCAACAAAATATGAACTGAGCAGCTTAGTGTAAGGCTTGATTGTCTAGCACAAATGCTGCTACTATTTGCGTCATCAATCTGGCAACCTCTGTGCATGTCAAGTCATGGTTGGAGGGGTTGGCTGACAAAAAAAAAAAAAACCCTCTTCGATATTTTGATTTGGATTGCAATACCTAGTTCAACCACTATGTATTCAATTCTACATAATGCACCTTTAAATCCCACAACTATGCTCTAGGAAACTGTTAAACTAACCATCAGTTTGTATCTATACAGTCATTTGCAAAATCAATCTACCTCCAATATATTACATTATTTACAAATTTTTTTTTTTTTCTTTGTAACCTCTAACAAATATTGCTTACAAGCTTTTGACACCTCTCTACTGAAATCTTGGCGCATTTCTTGCTAGAAAAAACTTCCATGTGATAATCAGGTTTAAAAACTACAACTTATTTTAACAACAACAACGTGTGACTAGATTTGAATGTAGTTTTTGGGCCATTTTTATGTACTGTTACACCCCTTGTATGGTGGATGATTTCCAATTCCTCAAAGCATCAATTGCTTTTATGTAACTCTGCATCTCATCCTCTTTTCCTTTCTCCCTCAGGGTTGCCGAAATTACATTGTCCTCATTTTTGCGTTCTGTCTGGTTCTATCTGGGGCATTAATGACTGCATTTTCAAAGATCTAAATCTTTTAAGGGCAAGAAATGCACAGAACACATTTTATTCTAGTTTTCTTTTAAACCATATTTTAATAACTTTTGAAAGCTGCAAATTGTAAATGTATTATGTGGTTATTACAGGTAATACAGCTACAAGCTGAAACTTACTGAAGAAAACAATATTGTATTTATCAGAAAGGGATGTGGTCCTTAAACTTGAAATGTTACTGCAACAGCAATATTCGCACATGTTCTGTTTATGTTATTGGGAACCTAGTTCCCTGTATTTTAATTTTATTTGCAATAGCACACTTTTTTCTGTTTACACTATAATAGACCTCACTGTACTTTGGCATATAATGGTTAGTGGTTTCTATTATACAGTAAGATTCAGTGGATCTTATTTCACAGGACTTACTTAATACATTTTTGAAGAAGAATATGAAGTCTATTTTAATTTTTGTATTTAATTTAATGCACTGTTTTTCTTGGTAAAAACATGTCCTTTTAACCCACTTTTTTGTATTTCTAATTATTCAGAATGGAAATTCATAGCACTGTAGTAGCATTTTTACTGTAATAACATTACAGTACAGTTTAGTTTTAAAGTTTCAGCACTATATAATAATAATTTTTTCTTTCTGAATTTCTGAAACTGTATATAATATTAGAGGTAAATGTCATGAGTTTCTCCATGATAAAAATTGAGAAAACCTTGTGTTTTTTTTTTTCTTTACTGCTGCCAAGATGTCAAAGGCCTTTGTTTTATAATTGATACATTTTTTGTACTTCTTTCTGAAAGGGAAATAAAGGGCCCTATAATACACCTGGGGCAATAAGGTGCAAAATGTGTTTCTATGACGTGTTGCTATTTTTATTTTTTTTTACCATAATGTTCCCGTTTTCCGCCACGTTATTTAAATAGCAAATCCATTTGCGTTACTTTGTGGACTCATGGTTGTTCTGGTCTATATAAGAGGTGTGTTAAGGCACATTGCTGGTACGTTGCTATTTTGAGAAACTAAAATAGACTGCACAAGAGACCAGCTGAGAGCAGGTCTAAAGTCCAGAAGATGAGACTCTGATTGGTTTATTCTCAAAATACACCTATAACTCATTAAGAGAATAAGCTCAACCTTGTTAGACTATACGCTGCAGCGCAGATCATATTTCTTCATCCTTAAAATAGCAAAAGTGGATTCTGACACACCCTAAATGCTTTTGCACCCTGCGCTTTGGACTTTGCATCTAGATTGTTAAAATAGAGCCCAAATACTCAAATACAAGAGTGAGCGAATCGCTGTGTAGTTGGATGAAACTGATCAGTTGTGCTTATATCAATAGAAAAATGTATGAATAGTAAAGTATCAAGCACTGGATATAAATAAGAAACACAAATGCCAGATCCAAGAAGACCAAAGAGAACTTTAAAAAAATCTGAAAATGTATGACAAAATGTTTATTTTTAACTGTACAAAAAAATAATAATAAAATTGTAAAATATAAACAAAAAATTATCCCACCTAATTCAGATCAATATAACTCCTTAACAGAACATTTTCTTAGCTAACTAATGCATTCTTAAGTTTTCTTATGAAGAAATATAAAATAACTTTGATTTCTTCAAAACCTAACACTTTCATAAGGGAAAAGTTGTAATAATGTTATTTAGTAGCTCTTGAAGCACACTGTAACATACCAAGGGCTTCCTGTACCATTTGCTGGGAGGGAGAGGAAAAAGTGTCCCATTGAGCAACATCTAAAGCAGGTTTTGGATCTCTGTAAATACACTAGTTGGGTTTCATTGGAGCGGGGAGGTTGGCCGAAGCCTGCTCTAGGAAGGCCAGAGGACCCTGTGGCAGTTCTGTGGGCTTCTTGTGCTGAACGTTGATGTCTTCCAATACCTGCTGCCAATGATGGATCTTGGCGAGGTGTTTCTGAATTAGCATCTCTTTCCTCTGGAGTTCATTCTTTAGTTCTGATGCATCCTGGGAGATTTAACAGAACATACATTTTAGTACACATTTCTGATTGATTGAGTTTTGAAATGTTTTGCAAACAGACTCAAGATATGTTTTGATCCAATCTGTTTTAAAGCCTGTGTCTTTTTCATTTCACTAGCATGCATTATTATTCTTCAGCTAAACAATTATTTCATTTCAGTTGGAGAGAGAGTTTTAAATTTATTGCCATGTCAGCTTCTCTGGCTACTTGATGGCAAAACCAGGTCAAATTTATACATTTTCTATAATAGTAAAAAAATAAAAACTAATGATAACATTAAAAAGACATCAACTGCAATAAATAATACATAAGATAAAAATCTAAAGCACTTTAAGGTTTATTTTTGATAAAAAGTCTACCAAATTTGAAGAATTTGCATTTAAAAATATTTCCTTTAAAATCTCCAGACCAAAACGTTGACTGATAACATTAAAAAAAGGGCATTCTAAAAGTATATGTATAACACTTTGCAATATTGACATTTTGGGGGAGCTTCTCCTTTAAATAACTGTCAATGCATGAGTCTTGAGTGTCCGATACGGCATCTTGTGTTAACAACCCCATTAGATCTTAAAACAACTATCTGCTTTTCTTCCTACTAATGGCTGGATTCCAAAGAGTTAATTTTTTGAGCTCTATAGCCTTTTCTGTTTCCATTTAAAACACATCAACGTATTGAAATAAGTCTCTTCACTCTGACTTTATAGTAAAATAATAGGAAAAGTAGCAAATATTTTGAGGAACTGTCATAAATTGCATTAAAAAAAGTGTTTGAATTGTTTTATTTCTGTTTTTAATGTCAAACATTCCATTTCGAAGCTGTATCAAATGAAATAACAGGAACATAGTTTACTGTAATATGCTGTATAAAGTTGAAGATTAAGTAATTAAAATAGTTTTAAAAGTAGTTTTGGTTTAGATAATGCTGGATTGTATTTTCTTCTGTACATATGCTGTAAGTGCAAGGGTATACCTCTTTTTCCACCTGTTCTGGTTTCTGTACAGAGAGCTGTAGTCTCTTCTGAAGAAAGAAACATTCAGTCTGTCTGGCCACATCCAGAAACTTCTGTATACACTGATCAACCCCTGAAATACACACACAAAATAAATAACTGTAAAAAATGATTATTATTTTTTTAATGCACTGGTCGAGTTTTTGGGCAATATTTTTTCATAGCATCTTATTTCAGACTATTGGAAAGAAATGACTTCAAAATTACCAATTGTTTATTTGTGTCTAACGTTTAATTACAATCATTGTTGGGTAAGCTACTTCAAAAATGTAATTAATTACTAACTAGATAATTAAAAATGTATTTTAAATTTAAAGTCGGAAAAGTAACTTAAATGCTCACTATTTAAGTACTTGACTCAACTCTACTTAAAATCCCAATAAATCTTACACATAGACGATATAAACTAAACATAATTCTGTACATTTGACCCAAACAGGATCTTTTAGATCCCAAAAATGGATCTTCGAATAATAAACATGTATCAAAACATTTACAAGCAATGACACAATATTTTATAAATACCATATATTTAAGGCATGTAAATTATATAAGTAACTAATTAAATTACCTAAAAATGAAAAGTAATCCCTTAACATTTTCAGTAGAAGAGTAATTACATTTAGACAGTTTGTAACTACACATCACACTGATTACAATACATATACATGTATAAAATTCATCTTGCTAGCTCTCACATGGTTTCCCACTGAAGATATGAAGAGATCACAGGAAATGAGGAAGAATACAATGTTCAGATGTTTGTTCTGAATCATTGTGAAAAAGTTTTTTTTTTTTTTTTTTTACCGAATTTTCATATTTAAACAACAATTCAGAAAATATGTTGTTCAAAAATGTATAAGTAATACTGCATTTAATGACAGCATGACATTAGCTAAATGGTCATCTGTGATGTTGTTGCGGATTACTGAAAACTGTAGTATTTGAATATAGTCCACTGGTATTGGTGTCCAATATCATAAAAATTAACACATTTTTGGAGCACAGACGAATAAAAACATCTCTTTACCAGTTCGAATTTCTTCCTGGTCAGTTCCATTGACATAGTCTTGGCTGACAAGAGATGCAAAACACGCCTGGCAGAATTAAAAACACACATTAAAGTACATTATAAAACACAATATTAAACAGTTACACCGTAGATTATACAAAATAACATAGGATTATAGTGAAAAAATAAACTAACTCGCCCCATTAACGGTCTAACGGTTATATCATTTCATCAACAGCCAAGTAAATAATTTATTAATCGCGTACATAAAACTCATACGTGTGTGTGTGTGTGTGTGTGTGTATATATATATATATATATATATATATATATATATATATATATATATATATATGTTTAAACAAACATTAACAAAGGTTTAGTGTGACTGCAGTTGCACCAATGTTATGTTAGCAGAAAAAGTTTACGTGAGCTCTTTACCTCGAAAGAAGCTTCCAGCTCATCCACTAAAGTGTTATTCGCCCCTCTGTTACCGGGAGTACCAGTGAGGAGCCCTGGCTGACCTGGACCACCCGGACCCGGAGGTGGATGAGATCCAGGAGGCTGCTGACCGGGGAACATTCCGCCCATGGACGACGCCATTTTCCCTAACAACAAGCTCTTTTCCTCGTGTGCGGCAAAGCACTCTTTCCAAATGTGAAGTGCCGCCATCTGTTGTACAATGCGTGCAATGAAAGTCATGTAGGCCCAGGTTTGTGCCAGTTTATCATCTAATAGCGAAATAATGTGTTTAATTAAACAGATTTGTTTATAGAGCCATTTTGATTTTCTCAGAATTAATAATATAGCCAATGCTAATACATAATTAACAGACCCAGTGGCAGTTCTAGACCAGAGTAACTTAGGGAGGGCATACATCACAACATGCATTCATGTTCATACATTGTGATCATACATCACAAACCACATCTTTTTACAATTATTCGAAGTCATTTTTTTCATGCATCACTCTGCAGTCTTCATAAACCAGCTAATTAAAAAACTACTCAAAATCCTCTATATATAATCTTCCATGTTATTTATTTGACAAGTAACTTTGTGTGTGAATGAGTGTGTACCATTGTGATGTTGTGGTTGCAGCTGGAAGGGCATCTTCTGCGTAAAACATTTGCTGGATAAGTTGGCGGTTCATTTCGCTGTGGCGATCTCTAATTGATAAAGAGACTAAGCCGAAAAGAAAATTAACGAATGATTGAAATTGGTCATAGTGTATGAGAGTGAATGTGAGTGTGTGTTTCATAGTACTGGGTTGCATCTGTAGGGGCATCCGCTGCTTAAAACATGCTGTAATAAAAAAAAATAATTTTTAAAAATAAAAAGAAAGAAAGAAAGAATAGCCTACGTTTCCAGTTGAGGTGAAATGTTGAACTCTCAGAAGCAGCTGAAATTCTCTCGTGGTCAAAAAAAGTAACTGTACTTCACACTGGATTTTGGAGCTGAATCATCTGTCATACTGTAATACACTTCGACAGGTGGATGCAGGTTGGGGTCCAGATCAGCTGGTGACATGAATCCAGGAGTCCCACATTTGGTCGGCGCCTGTATACTATATGTAGCAAAGCAGGACATGATGAAAGTTAAAAAGGTTGTGTTGGTGGTTATAGAAGTCTGTGTGTGGCATGGGATTTTAAATGTAATGCTAAATAATAATGGTCTTTTATGATTTTAAGCCTGGTCACATTTAAGTTTAAAATGCTGCTTCTCCCTCAATCTAGAGAAATAAATTGTGTTAAAAACTCAATAGTTTAAAATATAAACTTGCAATACTGATCAGTATTATTTCAAGACAAATGTTCAAAGTTTGGACTTGTCATCATGAGAAACATTTAGAATTGTTAATTAAAAAATCACGATTACATTAATCGTTTTATTATTTTACTTAAACAGGCTTATATATTGTGGCACATCAATTTAAAAAGGTTAAATCTAAATTTATCAATTAGATTAAAATAATTTAAAATGAACATTAAAGGTGCAGTAGTTGATTGTCTTCAGAAACATTTTTTTGTTGTGCTGGTTGAAAGTCTCTTCACAGTCCAATAGTAATGATTACAGTAAATGATCTAAATGTGTTTATATGTATTTTTATATTCTGGGTAAAGCATAAAACTATATTCACATTGGGTCATTTTTGAACAATGACAGCCTTCCTATACTGTTGACCATGCTCCTCTGAATATTCGCTCTGAAATAGCATGTAAATGTGGCTAAGTAATAAATGTAATTCCTGCACGGCGCTGGCACTTACTAACTGGCGAATGACATGAACTAGTGGGTTGTCTGTCGGCTGTTGTGACGTGGTGCGCGCGCTCACGATTTCAGGGGGTGTGGCTTTGAATCACAGTCCCTCCCCGCCGTCCAAAGATAATATGCTAAGCGGTTAGCTTTTTGGCAAATCACCTACTGCACCTTTAAGTAAATTTCAACAGCTAAATTTGGCCTTAAAGGGTTTTTGGCTGCAAAAGAACAAAAAGGGTTAAAAGTTACGAATTGCCGTGAGATTGCGTTGGTTATAAAACAGATAAATAAAATCAGGTTGAGAAAAAGTATGAAGTGCATGCAAACTGTACACATGTGGTTAGTAGGCTGCATTTGGTTTGCAAACCAGAGGAGAGATTAACAGAAATACCCAGTAACTTGAAGAATGCCTTTCAGACATGAGGTTTTCTGCAAGCCCCAGTCTGACACAATCTTCTCTAGGAGACCAAAGTTGCAGAACACATAGCGCAACACAGAACACAACCGATTATCTGCTTTACAGTTCGTAGATCCATGATGCTAAGTGATCATGGTTAATTTAGATTATTATGATTATTATTTATGATTATACAGCTTTGTGGTCTTCAGTTGTCCAGGACAGGGTCTTTGGCTTGTCCTTCAGGAAAAAGATTAATAGGGCTGGGATAGCAAGCTGAAGAATAATCTCCAATAGAAGTTGTTGAATCTTTGGAAACGTTGGAGTTCTTTCATAGAAGTGGGTCGAGGCTATTCTTGTATGGTGTGTACCTTCCCCTTGTCTATCTGTACTCTGGATGGGCTGATGATGTATGCTAGAAATGGCAAATGTGACTGATGGATCTCACGTTTCTCCAACTTCAAGTACAGGCGATGTTCATGAAGCTTCTGGTGGACCTACAGGATGTGATAGCAATATTTGTCAAGGTTTCTGGAGTATATCAGGATGTAGATGTAAACTAAGACAAAGCGATAAAGAAACTCATAGAAAACTTTGTTCATAAATGTCTGGAAGATTGATGGTATAATGGACAGTCCACAGGGCATCACTTGGTATTCATAGTGGCAAATGGGAGTAATGAGCGGCATCTTCAATTTGCCTATTTTACAAATATGAATGAGGTTGTTGGCACTCTGCAGTTCCAGTTTGAAGAAGTGTGCCCCATGGATCTTCCAGCTAAAGTGGTTAGAGCAACTGGACTATATGGCTGTTTCTCAATTCCAAGAAAGCAGAGAATGGACTTGCGTTCCTGTGGAGACCGATCTTGCCAGGTCACCTCGGAAGAACGAACCTGGGAGACCACAAGAACAGAGAACACGTCCTGTGAGAAATGAGATGCTGCGTTCTTCCTAATCGTCACATGACCCTCACGCATTTTAAACTGAAAAATTATTTAAACATTACAGCATTCATACAATGATTTATTGTTTTCTCCCTTTTCACAATACATACTATGCATAAAGACTTTACAAATATACGCTGCACTATACAAATAAAACAGTTTTTTTTTCAGCAAATAAACACCCTTTATGTGTTGATTCCTTTATTAAGATTTTCATGGGGATGTTCTTTCACCGTATTAGGGAAACTCCTGAGATAAATAAGTTATATCTTTGAACTTTAATAATAAACCTATGTAAAATGCTGCTCTTGCCACCTCCAGTCGCAATGATGTCTTGAGTGAGTTCGATGCTCAAGTCTGTGTCGGTGTGTCCTCGATATCAAGAACACATCCGGGAACTTTCACCTGTCATCCATTCTTGCGGTCTTGAGTTTTGGAACTGAACTTTAGCAGTTGATGATTACACAAGAACACGAGGATGCAACATCGCTGAAGATCACATTGATAAACAGCCTATGAGAGTTCAGAGCATGATAATCAATGCAGGGCTGAAAATTACTATCTTTCTTACCAACAAAGAAGAAGCTCAAAGTAACTGTTGAGGATGATAGAATAATCAATTCTTGGTGCATCCTACATTTAATATTTCTATACATGTAATGCTTCCTGCACATATTATGTCTCAATAGCCTTGCACTCTATGATGGACAGAGGTAAGATCATTCCTTCGGATAGTTGGGCACCCAGAAGCAGGACGAAGGCACAGTCATGTAGCTGATGAGGTGGAAGTTGGGTGACTGCCTAGTTTCTAGAACCCCCAGTATTCTTTGAGGATCTGTGTCTTAGGACATTTGATGAGTTTGGAGTCTGGAACAAATAAGGATGAGGTAATTATGGAAACAAGTTTGTTTAGTCTTTACTTCAGTGGATGACATCACAGGAACTTCAACTGAATTTGCAGAATTAAGACATAACCGCAAGTTAGGATATCATGATGCTGATGGTGGAATGTTCCAGTTCCAAAAGCGACATGCACTCTTGATGGAATTAGCTCATTTGCAGGGTGATGACAGGGGTGCAGAATGCCACATGACCACGTCCATATGGTTTTCTTTGTAAAGTTTGTACTGAGAATTCATAATCATGATTTTCTGGTGATAACTGAAGCCAGTTTGGGCATTCTTGAGAAATTACATTTTCAGATTAAACTAAATCAATGAGAGCAAACACAGAGTGAGGAAGAAGCTTGGACATGTCTGATATAACAGGAACGGAAGAGGTGACCAGCATTTCCACCAAATAAACATGCTTTGATGGTATAGGAAGCATGGTTTAGTTTTCTTTAGTGAGTCATGTAGGTCCAGTCTGCATTGATTCTGGTACTTGTAAGCAGGAAGTGGGTGGAGCAGAGGTAACCGATGATTGGTCAGTGGCTTCGTACAAATCCTGGTAAGTCTCTGAATTTCCGTATGGAAATCGCCTATATCAGAGCTTTATATTAGAAACACCTTAGAGCTTTCCAATACGAACTTTGATGGTAGCATCCCAATATACAGATTCCCTTGCAACAGAAAGCCACTACACTCTGCCAATGTGAATTGCAGAGGCAAAAGTGAAGGTTTTGATGACAGACCTGAGAGAAGGGAAGGGAAGATTTGAGTGCGGTTATAACTAGCTCGCAAAGGGATCCAGTGGTGATAGTGACAGTGGGTGGAAATCCATGGTGTTCTGGTGTTGGTATGGTCTTCTAATACAATAATCAGGAGACGACAGATGGAAAGTAGTGCAAAGCAGTGTTGTTTATTGAACAGTATTGCAAGTTGAGTGCAGATTAAGCTAATAATGCATGCAATAATAATAATAATAATGCAATAACAATAATTAATGCAATAATGCAGGTCTTAACTGAGTTCAAAGATGGTTTATGAAAAATGGACAACAAATGAGATGTAGAAGACAAAGGAGACATTCAGGGAGTTATGGGAGACATCCAGGCAGTACACATGAAATGATGAGA